TCGCACTGACAACAATGAGTGCAAAATTGTTAGACCCAAGATAACTGCGTTGACAAAATTGTGAGTGACAGCCTCTTGTCCCAAGCGAAGTCATCCAGACCTAGTCCCTTATGGCGTATGATTTATGAGTCTGCGTCCCCATGACAAGTCAATAATTGAGTGGCCCAAATGTCTGACTAATTGCCTTATCGAAGCGTCAATGACAATGGCTCGCAGCTCAGGTTTTTGGTCATAGTAGTTGAAAATTAATTAAAATAAATTGCCCTTATAAAAGGCTGCGTTTGCTTAGAGCGTCTCAGTCGTCTGCAGTCATGCGCATCTATATTAAAATCAATAAGCAATCTTAATTAATTGAAAATCATCCTGTAGTGTTTCGCGAATTTCCCATTCATTATTTTAATTGGATTACTTCTTTAAATATTATTTATTTTGTAATTGGGCTTTTTTCTCGAAATAATCATTAAATGTATGGATGACAAAAATGCGAAATAATTCAAAAGCTTATTGAAGATAATTACAAATTAAAGGGCGCAGTGCAGTTAAACTTAAGTTTGAAAAAAGTAACTAAGTAACTAGCTCTATTATCTAAAACCGAATTATGTTGAGCAAAATAATTAGTCCAAAGACTGTTAAGTTTAAATTTATTTGCTACATTGAGTTCATGGAGGAAAAGCCTCCCACTAAAAAAAATAAAAAGTGGTGCGCATTAAAAGTCAGGAAACATATCCTTGTCACGTTCCACTACTCACTACATTGGTCCGGCCATAGAGCATAGGAAATCCGTTGACTTTGGCTTATGTGGGTGCAGTTTTCCGGCCACCACCTCCCAGCACGACTGACTAGTCACATAAAATCCATTAGCAGCACCCCGTCCACTGAGTCAATTGCCCCAGACGCCTTCAATTTAAGCTTGAATAGCTGAGCAGCAGGATGGAGGATTGGGAGTAGGAGTTTTTGGGTAAAACATGGAATGTCTGGCGCACAAAAGACGCGTGTTGGTAAGCCCAAATGAACGCAGAAGCGAATCAACCTGCTTTCACAAAAACTTTACTGCGATGGGCCGAAGTGGCAAAGTTAATTAGCCGACTTCCTGGCACCCAACAAAAAGGCATTCATGGGATTTGGCCTGCAGCTAGGATTACCTAACTAGGAACACCAAGGAAAAAAACTAACCTAGGATCCCAAAAATTAATATAAAGAAAATTAAAAATAAAATGTACAAAGCAGTTTAGATTTTGGGGTAAAAAAAACAGCGTTAAAAAATTAAACTAGACTAAGACAAATCTAAAAACTTTTGGGTCTTAGTTTTCGAGTGTATAAAAATAACCAAGAAGGGGAGCATCTGCCGAGAGAGCACCCACATAAAAAATGCCATTTAATTAAATACATGAAAAGTTGTTTTGTAAAAGTTTATTATTTTGTGTCTGTTGCAGCGATACCAGCGAACTGGAGCCCGTAACGCATGCGAATGAGGCAGTGCGTCGCTTTTACCGACTAATTCAGGCTGCCCGAGATGGCCAGGATCAAAAGGACTGCCAAAGCCTGTATCCACAGTGCAACATGCCGGCCAAGTGAGCCGCAGGTCCCAAATTCTTGGGAAAGACAGATGATATGCGAGTACGAGCAACTTTGAAGTCAACTTTTCCTTGTTAAACACCGAACTGTAAATAGGATAATAGATCTAGGCTAAGCATAATTTATTTGTTAAACTCTTATTTATTTATTTATTTATTTATTTATTGTAGTCTAATGGTTCTCCTATTTAATGTCCATTTAAGCTCTTCGGTCACTAACCCCTGCATTAATATTCATTCTGATTTTGTTGAAGCTAGCTTACAAATTATTCATTAAATTTGACTGCGGTCAGTACACTTTTTAAATTTACCACACACACACGTGGAACACACACAAGGAGTTCACAGATAATTCGCTTAAAATAGGATATAAATGAAATCAGAATATATATTATTTGCCGGGTAGACGGATGAGGATAAAAATTCAATTAGTCAATACGCAAAAATTGTTATCAGAGAGCATATAAAACGGAAAATAAATTGAAATTGTGTTAAATGTGTATAATTTTGCGTTTGGGCCAACAGGTTAAAGCGAACTTAAATTAGAAAACGGTACGTCATTCATAATTTATTTATTATTTATGAATATTAATACTTTTGCATAAACTAAGCCGTTTGCATAAGAACTAGTTTAAAGCAATTCAAATTATTTCAGACCAAAGCACTAGGTAAAACAACATATACAAGTACTAATAAGATTTTAATACCTCAGATTTCTTCAAATTAAATAAAATAGTTTCAATAAAAGTAGAAAAACATTTACATTTAAATAAAACAACATTTTAATATATAGAAATTATATTTATATTCAGATTTCTACGTTTTGTTTTTTTTTTTATTAAATATATCATGTGGTATTATAAAATTCTAAGAAAATACGCATGAAAAATTGACCTGGGGCTTAGCCTAATTTAGCTTTAAAATTTATTCCTCTTTGATTGAGTCAATGCTGCTAATGCAAGGCAGTCTGCGTGTATATTTTAGCAGGTTATATTTGGAACATTCTGGGAAATCACTCACTCAGACCAGTAGATTCAATAATAACACGATTTCTTTGCATAAATCAAGGCGCCTTGGCCCAGCAGGAATGGCGTGCCAATATGTCGCTTAATTGTCGTTGGCAAACAGTCGAAATGGAATGAAACCTATTTGCATAAATATACTTATTAGGCAGTGTATTGGCGTCAGGGGCGACTTTGATGTCTATATGACGAGCACAAACTCATCTGAAATTAATATTTATGTAAATTCCAGGCGCAATTAACACGCAAATGGCAAAGCTTTCACTTTCATTCAAGTACAAAAAATTCCTTTTTGCCCAAACAAAAAACAAAAGCAAAATAAAATCCGAAAAAACAACGAACAAAAATTACAACAAAGGCGGAAGCGTAAGTAAGACATTAAGATTCGTGGGCCCAGCCAACTGCACTGACATCAAAACACCGATTGCCAAATTGGCAGCTCATTAAATGCCAAAGCAGCCCAAATACTTCAACACTAAGACCCCTACTTTGCCCTTATAATTTCCATGGACTTGGCTCATTTGTTGCCTACGAAAATACTTCCGCTATCCGAAGAAATTAAATTTAAATGAAATCATATTTCATTTTCCAAACTCTGTTTATTTATTCAAATGACACAATAAAGTATTTTATAAAATTCCTGCTATTGTTGACCTGCTGGAAATGCAAGGAGAAAAGCTCATTGACACGGAACGTTATTGACATTGGGGTTTCAATTTATTGAATTTAATTTTTCTCAACGTGTACATTTCTCTTAAACTGGAGCCTGTTCAATATTTAAGGTCCAGATTTTAATGAACATTAAATGGTTTTAATAGCTCGACTTTGAACATTTTTGTGTCTACTGATAAATATGACCAAAACAGAGTATAACAACAAAGGTCTAAGATGTCTTAGAGTGACGTGACAGACGTTTTTAGCGTTTTATGTGACGTGGTTCCGTTTTGAAATAATCTTGCTCTGCGTAGGAACTATTGTTATATTATATTTTATAGTGTCCGAGATGTCGTCGTTCATGCAAACGGACAGACAGGCGGACATGGCTAAATCGACTCGGTTATTGCTCCTGATCAAAAATATATATACTTTATATGGTCGGAAACGCTTCCCTTTGCATGCTTTTTCCCTTTTACTCTACGAGAAACGGGTATAATAAAAAATTCGCCTTTCAAAAAACCTCTTTTTTATACTCTTGCCGAGGGTTTTGCAGCGCAGTAAAGGAGACATTTCCGACCCTTTAAAATATATACATTTTTGATCAGCCTTTATAGGAGAAACGACCTGCCACGTCTGTCTGAACAAACAAAATCAAGTCGTCAAAACACATATTATTTTATAATTATTTTTAATATAAATAATGTGTCACTTGTAATGTTATTTTCGGCTTGTTAATGATATTAAAAAGATATGATAAAATAAATCTTTAAATTCAATATGGGGAAAACAATTTATTTTTAAATTACAAAATAATATGAGCAATCAGACTTTACTGCAATTAATTTTGATGTAAAACAGTTATGACTTTTTTTATATCTAGGTAAGTAGGCATTTTAGTCAAGTGCATAATAAAGTATAATTGTATAAAACCCAAAGGTACTTAAAGTGAGGAACCGATATTCTAAAAAAAAAATACAAGCCAAGTTGAAAGCGGTTTACATTTTGATTATAATATGCTTAAATCTTAAAAAACAATTAGGTAAATATGATTTCGAAATATGTACCCACTCTTCAACGACAAGCAAATTGAATTCTTATTAAATCGTCTTTGATATTCTACTTGTTATATCAACTACAAATTGTTACTCAAATACATACGACGAATAAAGAAAATCAAAGCGACTCGCTTCACAAAAGAGAACCAAATGTATTCCATCTGCCTCAGTGGTCAGCAGGTGCAATTGACTGCCTACTGGGCAACTGGCAAAGAAACGAGCACTAGGAGAGTCGTATTCTAATTTGGTTTCCAGGCACGCACCTCCGATTGCTGGGCACTTGATTTTACGATTTTACAAACGGAGTCCCCGGTTGTCGATGCAGAAGAAGCCATCAAATAACTTTCAATTATGTGCGGCCCATTATGGCGGGTATTATGCGGGAAATCGTCGCGATGAATTCCTCCGACAAAGAGAACAGCGTGCCCATAAAACGTTTGCCGACCCAATGGACTATATTATAGGAATAGAATCAGAAGCCAGAAGCCAGAAGCCGTTAGGGCCATCCATACCCGCACAAAGGTGAAACTCAGGTGGTCAACTTGCGCTTTCCATGACTTTGACAACAAAGCGAAATGGTCGCTAAAGCTGCAGCCCAAAAGCGGTGGGGACAAAAAGAGCACCGTGCGTAGCTGGCATACGCAATTCGATTAGCAAAGTACCGCCGTATAAAAACCAAGCGGTGCCCGTGCGACATTTGCATAACCCACTGAGTGGCCAACGCGTGCGCACCACCGAACCAAAGGGAGAGAGTTTGGGATTAACCACATTAACCGCAAGGATGAAGAGCACCGCCGCCTGTCTGATAGTCGCCCTAGCGGCGCTGTCCGCCGCCCACTCGGCGCCCACCGAAGGTCACCGGGCGCCGCAAAGCGCCACCCAACTGGCCCTGGACATGTACCACGGGTGCCTCAAGGACCTGAGTGTCTCGTGTGTCCGCCCCAAGGCCCTGCAGTGGTTCAACTCGGCCCTCCAGCAGCCGGAGGTGCGCATAACCGAGCGCCTGTCCATTGTCCGCACCGCGGAGAAGGCCGAGTCTCGATCGCTGAATCTGGAGGAGCGCCTCTTCGACGACATCGACAGCTACCTGGCCAGCCACTCGCTGAGGATCCAGGCCCCGGAATACTTCCGCAGCTCGGAGGCCCGCTCCCTGGTGCCCGATTTCCTCATGTCCAATCCCCTCACCCAGGGCGGTGTAATTCCATTGGCAGCAGCCAACGAAGGTGCGTACAGAATAGTGCAATTATATGCTATTTACTCACTCAGAAGAAAAGTGTCTACAAAATTAAAGTGTTAGTATAAGTAGGCGATATATAAATGGTCCTTCAAGCCGGATCATAGATTAAGTAAATTCCCAAAAACTGATTCTTCTAATTGGTTTCAAGTTTAAATTAAAAAACGGTATATTATAAACCTTGAAAATCTTACTTTCTTGCTGTCAAGAAACCTATTTATATATGAGATAAGGTAGAATAAAATAAGAATTTCTTAGATAAACAACTGAATTACATTTTAAAAAGTCTAAGTTTAGTGGATATTAAATTGTTAACCCCAATTTTCATTGTTTCCAGGACGCGGCATGATCCGCAAGGCAATCCTACCTTTCCTGCTGGGTCTGAAACTGAAGACTACTGTTCTGGTGCCCCTGGCTTTGGGACTCATTGCCCTGAAGACCTGGAAGGCCATGACTTTGGGTCTGCTTTCGCTGGTCTTGTCTGGCGCTTTGGTTATTTTCAAGATTGCCAAGCCCAAGATCGTCAACTACGAGGTTGTGCACTATCCCCACCATGTGGATCACGTAGTGCCCCATCACATTGAGCATGTGGTTCCCCATCACATCGAGCATGTGGTTCCCCATCACATCGAGCACATTGTGCCGCATCACATCGATCATCACCTGGAGCATCACATCGATCACCATGTGGATTTGCCCGTGGAGCACATCGAGCACCTGGAGCATCCTTCGCCCGCCTGGGATCCTCATGCTTGGGCCCGATCCTCGCAGGAACCGCAGGATGCCCAGGACTTGGCCTACGCGGGTCAGAAGTGAGCCCGAGACTACAAACCAAACCCCCTTTTACGAAAATTGGCCAAACTGCAACCTTATTTATTTCGCTCTAAGTTAAGTAGTTGAAACGCACAGCTCGCGGCGTATATGTTTATTTATTTATTTATTGAGAAGTGTACAAAGCAAGAAACCATAAAAAAGAACAAAACCCCCAGGGCGTTTTTAAAGGTACTAAGTGGGAATTAGCTCTGGTATCTTTTTGTGTAAATATTTCTGCAATAAAACAACATGCAAAAACGATGTGCCTAATTGAAGACTTTTTTTGGGAGTTGCAACCCCAAAGCAAAATGGGTAATTAACCCGAAAACTTTTCTAATGCTCGGGGGCATCCTTTCAGAGAGGTCCGTGTTCGGTTGCCAGGAGAGCTCAGAAAATTGAATACCCCTGAATAATGAGCCAAACTTCTGGCCAAAGTGATGAGCCCTAATGTAAAATTCAACAGACTTTTAAGGAGGTGAAAACAGCGGATAGAAGAAAACCACCGAGAAGTCCTTTAATGAAATGCAAACATTTTATATGCCAAATAGAAAAGGCTTCGCCATACTGCAGGTACCCTGCGTACTGGTAAGCAAAAGAGAAGATTGTGTTCTTCTGTTTAATTATGCTTTCTTTTCATATCTAAGTTCTTAATCATATTAAATATATTTAATATTTTGCTTAAATGGCCAAAGTAAATACTTTAAAAAGTATGTTTTCAAAATAATCTCAGGATCTATTTGACTAATGGAAAACTAATAAAGATTTAATTTGTCATTCAGTTTTTAATGTTCTGCTTTTAAAGTAACAGTTATCTTAAAAATAATAATAATGCAATAACTCTGTTTATTGGCTAATCAATATTTTACATTTTTAGCATACTTTCAGGAGATTCCATCGCCTCTCGCCACAGGGTCCAAAAAAATAACCCAAAAGCCACATGTAAGAATTTATTGCATTCCATTCTTACTTGCTGGTGTGCTGGCCATCCCAGAGAGAAAATCGATGGCCAGTGGTGCGGTCATATCAATTTCCAATAGCCACCTAGTAAAACCACCGCACCACCTGAGGCAGGTGGGTTGGAAAGCTGCACCAAACACACACACACCTCCTGGCCAAAATGTTGGCGGCGATGGCGTGAAAAAATGCAAAATGGCAATGGCGCCAACAAAAAAAAAACGAGAATTTAACAGCAAAAAAACGTGAAATTGAAAAACAATAACACCATCGACAGCGACAGCACTTCATTTATATTTAACGGCATGCACTTGGCCGCCATCGCGCGGCCATCGTTTCTACGCAACAATTTGGAATATGAAAAAGTTTTCCAATTTAATTGGCTCGAAAATGAAATGCGACCGGAATGGCAAATTGTCCGCCAACGAAAAGGTGAAACTCTTGACCAAACGACACAATCGAAATCCAAAAAAAATGGCAGAGAAACAGAAACTCTGGAGCCGCTATCAAATCAATTTTCATGGCGAACAGTGCGTAATCGATGCACGGGATTCATATTTCAACCGTATTTCGAAATTCAGCGCATGACTTTGAATAAACCGAGAAGCGGAGGTGGACATGTCACTTTCGCTTTCGTTAAGGAAACACACTTTCTATTTCATTGACATGTAGGTGGTCACTCTTTTTGGCCACCGACCAACCAAAGTCCATTGGGCCGTTTCCATATTCCTTCCCCAATTAGCAATTATTATTATGATTTGAGTGCCGTAATTAGTTTGCGCAATTTGGCGTGGACGGCTGTATAAAATTATGTGTTGCGATAATTTAACTGCTAGTTTCTTGTGGCCAATAAACGGTTTATGACCACACGATCTCTGGGAATACCTTTTATTTTAATGTTATGATTATTGTTAATTTATGAAAAAACTGTTTCTCATAATAGCCAATTAAAACTTTTTAAATGCCTGTTAATCGATTTTCAGTTTTAAAAGTGCCAGGAGGTACACCTGGTTTATAACTAAAAGTAAACAGAGAAAATGCGAGAGAAGAACAATAGTTGTTACAAACTTTCTGTTCCTACTTTGTCCGCAAACTTATTTGCTTTATTTCCTTTTCCCCCCAGAAGTTTTTTATGAACAAAATGAAACATTCTGACGGAGCAGAGTTTCTGAAATTAGCTGTTCCTACGTATTGTTTACTTTGGGTGAAGAAGTTAAACAATGTTTTGTATTCCTTTGTTTTGGAATAAATAGGAACGCCCCAAACATCCTAACTAATTACCCAAAGTAATGGGGGCAAATTTATTGTCTCCAAATTCAATCAGTAAATGGTCCCCATCTTTGCTTCCCCAAAGACACTTCATAATCCAGGAGCAGACTGTTTAATAGCATTCCTGCACTCAGAAAAAAATATGTTAAACAATTTTCAAATTAAACATAAGCATAAGTATTTATACAAAAAATATTTAACTACATAATTTACTCTACGCACAACTCTTAAGTTAATGCAATAAGAATTTTTGTTTATAATATTACTTTGAGTTTCATTTCTTTTTGTATAATATAAAAATACAAATTAGAAAAATTCTGCTAAAAACTTAAGCTAAAATAACACTACGAGAGTGGTTTGAAATAAATTGTCTACGTAAAGCAACAAATTATTGTAATTTATATTACTTAAATAATATATTCACCTTTAAAAATCAATGTACTTCTTAATTATACTTTTAAATGAATGGGAATTGCTTGACCTTCGTACGTTTACAATATAAACATTCTCCAAAAATAAAAAGTCAATATCATTTCAATTACAACAGAAATAACTTCTTGCATTCTTAAATAATTTTGAGTGCAGTCATCCACCCACATAGAAAACACTGGGATGCGACCGGCACGCGTTCGAAATAAAGCCACATTAAGCATACGACACGTGGTGCGCCGAGGCACGCACACAGACGCAAATAACAAAGTTGGAGCGTCTCTTTCGACGTACGCTTCATTCATGTCTTCTCTGGCCATTTCTTTCGCGCAGCCATTCGGCAGCGAACGAGTTAAAGATCCAGTGAGTATAAAAATCGTGAACAATAGAAAAACGATTATTAAACGCAATTGTGCCAGCACAGAGGCGAGTTGTGTGTTAACCAGCGGCGAGCGACGAACCTGAACAAACAACCTAGACAACAAAATGGCCAAGTTGCTCCTTGTGATTGTCGGTGTGGCGGCCTTCGTGGCAGTGGGACAAGCGGCGGCCGGTGGCTCCACGGAGCAGCTGCAGCGACTCATCGCCGAGGAGCGGACCAAGTGCGCCAGCGGCCAAGACTCGATGGCCTGCATCAAAGAGCGGGCCATGCGATTCGTGGACAATGTGATGAGCAAAGACAGCTTCCAGGTGAGCTTAAACACAGTAGTAGCTGCAGATACTATACATTTCTAAACAGAAAAGGCTATTTTTTGCCTGCTCTAAAACTGTATTATACAGTGTTATTTAGTTTTAAATATACCTACAATTTTTGGAAAATTTTATCAAATTAACTAGACCTGCAGATCAAATTTTAAATTTAATACTAAGTTCAGTTAAAATATTTTGATCATTGAAGAGCACAATAAAAATAATATGCCCGTTAGAAAATCCTAATTCAATTCAATAAAATTTGATTTTACAATCTTGCCTAACTTAAAGTTGGCGATTATCAATAAACTTTTAATAGGGAATTAAAACTTAATTTATAATTGTATAACCAAAATGTTCTGTCCAAATAGGTTTCCAACCTGGAAGTGCGCTCCAATGGCCAGAAGTCTACGCCGATCAGCGAAGCTCGTGCCAGCAGTGCCGATGGATTCGTTGATGCCATTGAGAACTACATCCGGGGACACGATGTCAGCATGGACTTGCCCTTGGCCGATGCCAAGGTCACCGTTTCGGCCCGCAACCTGGCCAGCAATCAGCTGAGCCTGAACCTCCAGCTGAATGGCGACGATGGCGACGATGGCGATGAGGGCACCGATGTCGAAGCCAGGGGTAAGAAGGGCAACATCTTCAAGAAGGGTGGGTTCACTTTCCGCATGCCTTTTGTCAACAACCCAATGGCCAGCAGCTACTGACCCGCAAAACCCCTCAATGTTGCAGGCAAGAAGCATCGTCTCCGCAAGCTGGCCATGCCCATCCTGGTGCTCATCCTGCTGAAGGCCATCACAGTGATCCCCATGGCCATTGGCATTCTGAAGATCAAGGCCTTCAATGCCCTGGCTCTGGGCTTCTTCTCCTTCATTGTCTCGGTTGGTTTGGCCATTTTCCAATTGTGCAAAAAGGTAAGCCGGCCATGATATTAAAACGCATCTCCAATTGTCTTCTAGGCATTCGCCGGATGTGGTAATTAGTATGCGTTTTGTGTGTTGGGATGATGATGTTTGGGCGTGGAGTTCGAAGTTCAAAGCTTTATTGCAATTAAGTGTCTTATGTAATGCATGTATGTATGTATAAGAAGTCGAAGAAGAGGGCGGCAGCAGCAGGGTAAGTCGAGCCAGAATCCTCGCCCACACTCTCCCGCTCCCAAAACTAAACCACAAAACTTACTACCCCACCACGACTAGCATTTTGAATATTTATCTATTTTATATATATCTCGAAATCCGATTTTTAAGTTCGATATTTTGCACATTTTCTGCCCCTTAGATTGCGCATGATCATCATCACACCGCGCACATCACCGCCCATGGTCCGTGGGATGGTCGCACCTTTGGCTCTGTTCCTGCCTCCGTTGTGGAGCAGCCCCAGAAGTTGGCCCAAACCCTGGCCTATCAGGCCTACGCCTAAACCACACAGATAAATCCCGGAATAAACCAATCGGAGCAGAGCAGTTTGAAGCCAGCAAGTGGTCGCAAAAGCACACAATGATTTGTTAATTGTTAGAAACGTTCTGTGACTTTGGGCCATTATCCATATTCCCTGCGCTGCTCGTTTAATTAGACTTAATTTATAATATTTATTAACTATTTATTGAAAACAAGAGATTAAGAGAACAGAGAAGCAAAGCACCAAAATAAAGTAGCAAAACAAAAGCCTTGAACATGCTAAATTCTATATCGTTTACTATGAGCATGGGCGGAGGTCAACATTTAAGTCCAGATTAAAGCTTAACCCACGGCATTTGACCAAAAACAGCCTGGGGCTAAACCGCACCGGTTGAATGCTAAGACCAGCAGACGTAATTAACGTTTCCACCCTCTGGTCAGAGTCTCGACCAATTTCACTTGGCATACAATATGTATAAGCCATCGCCAGCACAGCAATTGTGTCCTAATTAGCCAAATTTAATCCACAGCCAACGTCGACCCTCGACAATTCTAATTAAATATTCCACTCAAGTCGCGTTTGAGGCCCGGCTGGAAGAGTCGATTAAATTGATTAACTGCTTATAATTTAAAAATTTAAATTTCCTCTTTTCACTTGTGCGAAAGTTGCCAAGCGTCAGAGAGTGAAAGTCTTTCTAAATTTTTTCCCGTAAAAATAAGGTTAAGGGCCAAATAGACCAGGGACATTTTTTATCCCGAGTGGCGTTCACTGAGGCGTATGTTTCGCAGTAGACACAAATTAATTGGTTAATTAAAGTTTCCGCTTTGACTACGCTTAAATGCACCAAGAATTTATTAATAAATAAATAAAAAGACATGTTTTTACAATGGCTATTTAATGGTTAAGGAAAAACTCACGAAAATCACCCTAATTTAAAACTTTATAAAAATACAATTCATTCATTATTATTTTAGACATAAATTCTTTGATCATAAAATTGACATCTGTGTTTTTCAGTTTATTTCAAACAGTTTATGAAACAAATAATAATGATAATATAATATAATAATAAATGATTGGTTTATTTAATTTTCACAAAATTCAAACAGTTCATTAAACATATAATAAATTCAATATTCAATACAAAGCAAACTTCGTCAAGCCGAAAAAAAATTAAAAATTTAAATTTCCAATTATATAAGTATCAAATTCAAATCACTTCAATTATTCGATCGTTCCTATGGCAGCTATATGATATATTTTTTCGATTTTAATAAAATTAAACGCGTAATTATGAATAGGACTATTCCAAAAGAATAAAAAAAATTCTCTCCTTCTGATGCTGATCAAGAAAATATATAATTTATAGAATCGGAAATGTTGCAAACTTCTGACTGAAATTATAAAACTCCATGCAAGGATATAAAAAATTGGTTATAGACATACAATTTGCCTGCTATTGGAATGAATATTTAGTTTTCGTAAAATTGAAACACATAACGCCTTTTAAATTAACAACAAATTCTTGCAACAACAATCTTGCATTCCAATTAGGTTATTTTCAGAAAAATTAAATTTTTAACCTGGGGATGAATAAATTTCATTTGAACCAAATTGAACCTTTACCGAGGGTCAAGCACCAATTTGCAATGTATGTATGTTTTGATAGCCAAGAAAGTGTGAAAATTGGCTTAATATAGGCATTTTCGGGCACTGGCCTCACGCTGTTGGAAATTTTCACAGAATTTAAGCCAATTTGTCAGGCGAATGAACTGGTGTCTGAGGATTTCCCACAGGGATACCGATGGTATGGCTAGCCACCTGGACAGGTGGTGTCGCTTTCATAATCGCTTGCCATGCATGAGGACGCTGCTTTGGTCGTCAAACCATCACACATCATCATCAGCATCGAGTTAAAGCCAAGACACGAGCTTGTGAAAATTTATCGTACCGTAAAAGCATTCGGACCTTTTTTTTGGCACGATCCGAGCAAAAGTGTGGCGCTAGTGAAATAAACATTAAGCTGTCCCACCAATTTCTTTTATCGTAGGATGCAAGTGTTACACATATAAACACCACAGAGACACCTTTTGAATTATTTAAAATGAGCATTAGGTAATCTATGATGATTTCAATGATTTTGGCAGGCAAAATAAAAATATGTTCGCTTGTGTAACTTGGTGAAGTTTTTCAAAAAATGTTATTTTGTAGTTATACAGACATCCCTGATTATAAAGACACATTTTTAATGTTAACTATCTTTATTGTTATAACAGCGCTTTCATGTTTTTGTTTTAAATTCGTATTATTTATTTTTAATTTGTAAACAAAAACTATTTACTTAACTGTTGAAACTTTTGTGGGGCTTAAGAAAGTAAGAAAGGGGTTAGAGTATAGCGAGTAATTGAGAAATCCATTTTAATAATAAATACTGAACACATTAGATTATATTTAACTAATTTAATGATGTGTTGAGGAAACAGTTCACCTTCAAAATTTGCGACATAAATGAACAGAAACTCCCTTTTTAATGCAAGTCTCTAAAAAGCGTGTCACCTAAATATATGTGGCACAAATAAAAACGAAAATCTATTTCGTAATCTGAGAAAAGCAAACAAAATAATAATAAATGAAACCGCTGCGAAATCGAGACAAGAGTTCCGCGTACAAAAATCAAACAGAAACGTATCGAATATAGTGGGGAGTCAATACCAAATCGTAGTTGAGTTCCGTACTGATTTCTTGTATCGAAATTTGACACAAAACGCCGAAGTATGTACGTGCCACCGATTTGGCTTTCTTGTGGACTCGCGTAAGAGTAATGGGCCTGCATACTAATGGTCAACCAAAGTTATTTCCATCGAGGCGTCAATAATGCAACTTTGGCTGGTGGGAGGGTTAGGTGTCTGAGGCCAATATGGAAAGCGAGAAAGCTTAAGGGGCAACCCAGTTAGCAGAGGAGAGGCTACTGATTTAAGGCGGGGTACGCAAAGAGTGCAAGGGTATATCGCATTTAGACAGAAATATTTTATAGCACACAGTAATAACAAGTTCTAACTCCATAATATGTTTCGAAATGTCCTGATTCGGGAAATATGTAGCCCCTATCAAAAATTTAAAAATGTCTAGTACTAAACTAAAAACCTATAAATTAATGCTTTCATTTCCAGTAAATTTCAGTGAAATTATGATTTATTTCAATCTGTGAGATATATGAAGGTGTTCAATATCGTTCCAACCTCCTCAACAAATTAAATTCAAATTACTAATATACAATTCAAATTAATTTTATATATAGATAGATACACAAAGGATTCGCTAGTGTAGATATAAGCTTTAGACAAAATAACAAAAATATAAAACCCCAGAATATTTGAACCTTATCACTGTTTGATGCAGTAAAATTGATTAAAATACGATGATTTACAAAATGTTTCTTATCAAAAAGGAACATTTCGTGTCAACACTTTTACTTGTCTTTACATTTTTTACATGTAAAGTTTTGGGTCGCTTTTTTATTTTTTGATAGAAAATTTGATCAATTATATAAAGTTTCGAGATGACTTATTAAAAAGTAGAGCTAAAGAAAAAAAAATATATTTGTCCTGCTTGATAATGTTTAAAAGGGCTTCTTGTAAGAAATTTGTACAGCTAAGAGCCGGGTATTTAATATTCGTGACACTCTCCACCAGCGTTCTGGTTTTCTTTTCGTTTATTTTTTGGTGAAAAACTTTGGCCACTTGCTTTCCGTGGACTTGGCCCGTGTCTTGACTTTCGTCGCTCGTCACTTGCTGCGTTGGGCTGTCCAAAAACCGAATTGTGCACTCCAAAAAACCAGCACGGGTCTCTTTGAGCGGCAGTCTCGGGGAGCGGCAGTATAAAACCCGAACCAATCGGCAAATCATCCAACATTGTCGCCGCATCGATTCCACAGTGAACACTACGCGCTCTGCTAGTGTTGAAGGCATATTGTAATTTTTTATTGTAATTAACTCGATTGGAAACACCATGGCCGTCCGTTTCTCATCCTTGCTCGCGTTCGCTTGTGCGCTACTGCTGGTGGCCTCAACATCTGTGTCCGGAGCTGCCATCGATAATGCGGTGACCCCGCGGATCCATAGCTCCGACGAGCTGATCTCGACCATTCTGGATAAGTGCTTCCATGCCAATGCCATGCATTGCCTGAAGGAGAAGGTGCTCAGCTACCTGGACACGGTGGCCAATGTGGAGGATGAGGTCAGCGGACGTGCCCTGAGAGACGATGTCATCGATAAGGTCATTGTGGATCGTCTGGGCCGCATTCTGAACACCAACGAGATGAGGTTGCAACTGCCGCAGACCTTCTTCGCCGGATCCGTAATCTCCTATCGCTCGGATCGCGGTTTCGATCTGGAGCTGCCCAAGGAGGAGGGTCAGTAGTCATTAAAAAATTAACCCTTAATACTTTTGAATTAACTTAAAACAAATCCCCGCAGGTCGCGCTGAGAAGAAGAACAAGGACAAGCTGTTCCTGCCTTTGCTGCTGCTGATGAAATTCAAGCTGAAGGTGATCATGCCCATCCTGCTGGCCCTGATCGGTCTGAAGGCCACCAAGGCTCTGATCCTGTCCAAGATTGCCATCAAGCTGGTGCTGGGTTTCCTCATCTACAACCTCATCCAGAAGTTGGGAGGCATGAAGATGAACATGGTGCCCATGCCGGCGCCAGTTCCGGCCAGTGAATACGGAGTGCCCAGTACCACGGCCTCGTCCTACGATCCCAGCAGCTGGGAACCGATGAGCGGAGGACCCTATGCCCGTTGGGACTCGCAGAACTTGGCCTACAGCTCCTACCATCCCAGCAGCTCGTCCTCCTACTCCTCGGGTTCGTCGTCGGGACCATCGGGCTCTTCGTCCAGCTACAGCTCGTCCTCTTAAGTGGGGGAAAGTCAATCGCCCCATTGTACATACCAAGAATATGAGTGGTCCTTCCGAGGAGGCATCACTGCGAGTCACACAGACCAAATGAAACCGGAACCTGCCCAGGCCATAATTGTAGTCGTTAAGGGTTAAGCACGCGAGAGTTTTAGCCATTCTTCAGCCGTAACCACTTCGCCACTTAGCCTGATTTTCCCCTCTTCATACCAACTTCTTCCTCATTGACTCTCTTTCTTTTTGCCTTCGTCATTTCGTCACAAATCGACCAAAAATCACACTAAATGGAATTAATATTTATTTAATTTATTAAAAATGCAACACTTGAAAACATTAAAAAAAACTTTTTGATTATCGAGGGGTGTGCTTGGGGTTATTTCATTAAATTGATAAAAAGACATTCAATCAAGAAATTATATTTATTTTTCTCTGGCTTTTTTATTTAAAGTTGCACTATTTCTTTTTTTAAATCTTGAAATTCTTAATAATTAATATTTTTCAATATTTAACTTAAAAATTACAATTACAAGAAATTATTAAATTTATGTAAGTAAATTTTTCCAGAAACTATTATTTTTTAATCACATAAAATAATATTTATTTATTATTGCGTGATTAAAATATGATGAACAATTTATATTTTGATCAGCGATTAATGGTCAGTTAGGTCTTTAATGTGAAGTGTAATCGAGATTTGCATGTGAAAAAGTCACCAGCACTTAGCTTAATAGTCTGTCAACTAAACGAGGTATTAACTGATTTTGTGTTGCATGTTTTTAGAACCCGCCAGCACGCATGTGATGGGGGGTGGTGGTGTTAGTAGACCACTAATTGCCCGGCGTCACGACAAATTATTTTTTAAAGTTTATGGAGAACACCGAACGACAAACTGGCTTGGCTTAATGGTACTGAAAGCTGTTTTGTTCAATTAGCCTGGCAGAAACCATCTGTTAGATGAGCTAGGTATTTAAGGGCAGCAAGTCTAAGAAAGTAAATCAGTAAGAAAGGTTCGACACAATGTTAACCATCCTATGGATTGTTCTCTTTTGGCGATTCGGTTCTAGTTTGAGCCTGAGAGTTATCAGGGGAAATGATCATCAATCGGACACAGAAGTCAGCAAGATCATGAGGACACTAGACGTGATACCAGATTTAATTGAGATCGGACCCCAGGAGTTTCTCAATGTGAGTAACCAAAAATCAATATTACCCAGACTTCTCTCATTGTGATAGATATGACCGAAACACAGATATACAGCACAAGGTCTTACATCTACCATGTTAAAGAGTGACATGACAGACTTTCGCAAATTGAAACAATCTTGTGCGGCGTATGAATAACTTGAATCTGTATGTCTTAATCTAAAATCCAGACAGACGGACAAACAAACGGACAGACAGACAACCGGACAGACAAATAGAGACACAGACGGACAGATAAACGGACAGACAGATGGACAGACGGACAGACAAACGGACAGACAGACGGTCAGACAGACGGACAGACAAAAGGACAGACAGATAAACGGACAAACAAACGGACAGACAGACAGACGAACAGACAAATGAGAAGACAGACAGATAAACGGACAAACAAACGGACAGACAGACAGACGGACAGACGGACAGACAGACAGACGGACAGACAAACGGACAGACACACGGACAGACAGACGGACAGGCAGACGGACTGACAGACAAACATAGATGGCTAGTTCGACTCGCCTATTGATGCTGATCAAAAATGTATATACTTTATAGAGTCCTAAACGCTTACTATCTATTAAATACTTTTCAACGAATATAATATAACCCTATACTCTACGAGTAACGGGTATAATAAAATAAATCTTAATTCTGAAACTCGGTATACTTATCATATCGCACAAACATTAAAAAAAAACATAGAGGTTACTTATCGAACTAATACAAATTAAGAGAAAAGAAGATAAATTGGTTCGAATTAACATGTCTTTTTTAGGAAAATCATAATTTAATATTAATGTGATGCTTTACTGTAATGAAAGCATAACACTAAGTTATTAATATTCAAGCTGCGTAATTGTTAATTAGAAACTTTTTGTATCTATGAAATCGATTCGATTGCTTCCATCATAGGTTACATACCACGGTCATGTGGCAGCACATGGTGGAAAGTTACTAGAGCCCATGCAAGTGCGCGATGAACCCTCCTTAAAGTGGCCCACAGCACCGGAAAACTACTATGCACTGCTGATGGTGGATCCGGATGCACCCAACGTCATAACGCCCACCCACCGGGAGTTCCTGCATTGGATGGTGTTAAACATCCCCGGCAATCGACTGGCCCTTGGCGATGTGCGCGTGGGATACATGGGAGCCACTCCGCTTGCGGGCAGCGGAACCCATCGCTTTGTCTTCTTACTCTACAGACAGAGGGACTACACCAAGTTCAATTTCCCAAAACTGCCCAAGCACACGATTAAGGGGCGCAGTGGATTCAACACTAAAGACTTTGCAAGGAAATATAAACTGGGTTATCCAGTGGCTGGAAACTTTTTCACGGCCAGTTGGAGCGTCAATGTCCCAGCACTTATAAAATCCATCTCAAACGGTGCCCGCCAGGCAACACATTCTTGATTTAGAGGTTATGTTACTGATAAAACAAGTTTTAAATAAACTACTTTAACAAACTACCACTTTATTAAATTAAAATTGATAGTAAGAAATGTAAAAATATGTAGTTTGGCTGTCATAGTATTCATCGTAGCCATAACTTTTTGGGGAAATAACTTATATTCAGTTTAAATCACTATAAAGCACAGAAAAATATGTGAACTCTTAAATTTAAAATGGTCTCAACTCATCCATAAAATTTAAAACTGTTCTTTTTCTCCTTTAATAAACCAAAACTTTCATTCTAGATTATTTAATAGTTGGCTTTTAGTTTTATACCTTAAGCTAGCTTTATATAATGAATGAATAAAATGGTCTGACAACCCCTTAAAAACAATAACCCTTTGAGACAAGTGTCGGTACTGAAGGAATATGTGAAATACAATTGATACTTTTTAACATCTTAAATTTAAACAAAATTATTACTCACTCAGCCAAAAATGTCCGAAGCTGCCGTGTGCTTTTCGAAACATAAGATTGTGCCGGACATCCTGAAAACGTGTCCCACTAATTTGCTTAAGGTAGGCTTAACCATCTGTCAAATTACAAGGTCGCATGCCACATTTCCTGTTCTCCAAGGTCACGTATGGCGGCGGTCTAGTGGTGGACATGGGCGGCGAACTGACGCCCACGCAGGTGAAGGATCAGCCAAGTGTTGAGTGGGATGCGGATCCGAACGCAATGTACACGCTGATCCTCACCGATCCGGATGCGCCCAGTCGCAAGGATCCCAAGTTTCGCGAGTGGCACCACTGGCTGGTGGTCAATATTCCGGGCAACCAAGTTGATAACGGTTTGGTTTTGACCGCCTATGTGGGCTCCGGTCCGCCGCAGGGCTCCGGTCTCCATCGCTACGTGTTCTTGGTCTACAAGCAGTCCCAGAAGCTCACGTGCAACGAGCCCAAAATCCCGAAGACGAGCGGCGATAAGCGAGCCAATTTCAGCACCACCAAGTTCATGAGCAAGTATAAGCTAGGTGATCCCATTGCCGGCAACTTTTTTCAGGCACAGTGGGACGAATATGTGCCCAAGCTATACAAACAGCTGTCCGGCAAAAAGTAGCTAGTACCCGTGATTCCAAAAAAGTCTTCAGTGTCGAAAATAATTAATTTTGGGTTATTTTATAACTAGGTTATTATTAATTGATTCCAAATCCACACAAAGCAGCCTGTAAAAATAAAATAAATGAGTAAAAAAATCATAATCTAATAAAAACGAAAATTACTGTCGATTTAAAAAAAATTTAAAAACTTAATACGCTAGTAATGTTTATGAAGTCAATAAATCCTTTAAAAAAAAAAATACATATCTATACATAAATACAGTTATTGTTAAATAACTTAGAAAGTAAGCTTCATTTCATCATGAATAACAACATTTTTAGAAAAGTAATTAAATTCCAAAAATATGTATGGAAATAATTTAGTTTTACATAAATTAAATGAATAAACATTTAATATGTATATCAAAACAAAAACAATCTTTGATTATTTTGTTTCAATCATTTTTATATTATTAACCAATTACCATAACTAATCACAGAATGCACCGAACAAAATCGTTTAGAATTTTTAATTGGATGCAACCATATTCTTTGAAGCGTGACCTTAACAAAGATATCGTTGATTACTATTCTGAGATCGCTTTTTTCCCAGCTGTTTATAAAATAAAAAGCTTTCAGCTCAGTTTTAAAAGTATGGCATCACGGCAAACTGGTTTCAGTTGCTAACAAACCTTGCTAAGGAGCGGATCTCTAGTGCTCAAAGTTTTTTTTATTTGAGTTCTTATCGTCTAGAGAAATCTATTTACCCTACAAAGATGCTGTTGGTTCTTTTACCATTGATGAGCTGCTTGCTGGCTGTCCAAGCTGGTTCGCTGGAGGAGGTGTTCAGAACTCATCAGGTGGTTCCCGATGTCATTTCCGAGCCGCCAAACCAGTTGTTAAAGGTGGGTCAACTAACCAAAACTATTGAAATATAATAATTCAATTTATAAAAACAATAAAAAGAGTGTCTACAAATTTTGAAATCTTATATCAAATTTTTATATCGTGTTAGCTACTAACTTTGTTTTAATTTTTAATTAAGTGCAAATAATCCCAAGCTCAAAAGAAAACTACAAAAATGACTTGACACAACTTTCTGATCAAAGGTCACAAACTGGACATTAACTGATGCCTTTGCTTAAGCAGTAAGCGAGTAAATGAAATCTTTAAGAATTGAGGATAGTTTCTGCATTTTCGAACATTTTACCATGACACCTTAGGCAAACCCCTTAAAATGATATATATTATCAAGAGCAAACATTCTTATTGTATCTCCCTCTTTATGTATGTATGTACTGTATGAGAACTTAAATTTAATTTCAATTTACTCACCCAAAACTCAATGATGCGAAAAAACGCAACCTTGAAACACCAATCAAAGATCTAAGGCAAATAACATGTAAACAACATTTTGCTCAAAGGTCACGTACAGCAACGGCCTGGTGGCCAAGGATGGAGTGGAGCTCACACCCACTCAGGTTAAGGACCAACCGACTGTGGAGTGGGATGCCCAGCCAGGCGAGTTCTACACCCTCATCATGACTGACCCCGATGCACCCAGTCGGACGGAGCCCACGTTCCGCGAGTTTAAGCACTGGGTGCTGGTCAATATCGCCGGTAATGATTTGGCCAGCGGTGAGCCGATCGCCGAGTACGTTGGCTCCGGTCCTCCCCAGGGAACGGGTCTGCATCGCTACGTCTTCCTGCTGTACAAACAGTCCGGCAAACTTGAGTTCGACGAGGAGCGCGTAAGCAATAAATCCCGAAAGAATCGGCCGAAATTCAGTGCCTCCAAGTTCGCCACCAAACATCAGCTGGGAAGTCCCATCGCCGGAACTTTTTACCAAGCCCAGTACGATGACTATGTACCCAAATTGCACAAGCAACTTTCGGCAAATTAAATGGTTTACTAGCCATTTGCAGACTATTATAAAATGTAAAACAAATTAAATAAAGTATTTTTTTTAACCACAGAAAACATACAAAACAGACAGAACAACAATTAAAATAAGAAATTGTATTTTTAAAGGCTTAGTAAAGGAACTTAAAAACCTTATACCTTTTAACTACAGCTGTCTTTCCACTGCACAAAATACTTTAAAACACAAAGTTTTCACATGATGGATCTCCGCAATTGGAAGTTCTCTACTATAAATACTATTTTATATACCGATACACACTTTTTAGGTTTATCAGATTTGTATCTAGTAATGAATTTCAATTAAAAACATTTAAACAGTTCTTCATCCCCCTGTTTAATACACACTTAATCAAATGGAAAATGATTTCTTTTTGCAATTTATCTATCAACGTTGAAATAACAAATAAAAACTGTCAAACTTATGGAAAAAGTTCGCAATATATCTTCAGACAGCTACTAAAAATATTTATGATGAGTTTATAAACAACATCCCTTTTATCAGTCATATAAACATTAATTTAAACCAATTTAGTCTAGAAACACCCAATTAGATGATGGCTAAAAGTTTTAAACTCTTTTTCTATATGAATTGACACATAAGTTCGCCTTTAAACATTCATAAACTGGAATTTGATACTTGCCTGTGTTTGTCCGTGAAATTAAAAGCTAAAACTAACAACTTACACAACATTTCGGCCTCAGACAGGAAATTCTTGAATAGGGAATAGTTTTTCGGATTTATTAAGTGTTGATGGTGGTTATTGGTTATTGTATGCTTTTCGCTATGGTAGACTATTTTCCGGCCGCCGTGGCCAGGGGATTTCTGAGCACCAGGATCACTGAGTCGCCGCGCAGGAACATCTTCGATATAAAGCGGTCCTTGTTCACCGGCTTCACCTTCTTCTTGCCCTTTCCGGTGCGCGGCAGCTCCGTCCACATTTCCTTGACGTTTTCCAGGACCATGTTGCAGTGGCGGTCGAAGGCTTTCACCCTGCCCAGGAGCTTCTTGTTGTTGCGGCAGTTGATGAGCACCTGGGTGTTGTTCTTCACGGACTGCGTGAGCACGGACAGCGGCCCGGTGTTGAACTCCTCCTCCTCCTGGCGAGCCAGCTCCTCCGGAGTCAATTCCGATTTTGGTTTCACAAGAGCCCTGCCAAAAATACAATAAACTTAGATGATTTTGCAATATCACCGGCGTACAATCAACAACGCAAAATGCCGGCGCACATGTCGTTGCCCATTTACCCTTTTTTGCGTGGTTATTTACCACTTGTCCACGGTACTTACATGGCAAATTATTCGAATGGCTTGTTAAATGCAATTAAAAGTCTTTTTATTATCCTTTTCAGTGGTTTTTAGCCTTGATTGTCGGCAAAAGATTTTCTAGCGCGGCTTCTTTTCTTAGCTTGCTTTTCTAGAGGTGACACGCCAGCGATGGACTATCGGCGATAACTATGTTTGGTATTTTTTGGTATATATTATGCGCATGTAGAGGGTATTCGATTTTATTACGATTTCATAAATATGTAAAAAAAACTATACAAATCAGTCGACTATGTTATATGATGCCACGGAAACCTTGGGTTAATTAACATAATACAAGATTATGATTTTATCAATGTACAAAATAGTGAAAGGCAACTGTTGTTTACATTTTTACACTTACTTGAAAGTACTTGGTATTATGAAAATGCTAGTGGAAACCGTAAAAGTGCTTTTATTCATTTTGCAATGGCGTTTTTAAGTTTACCGACTTTGGTCACACTGCCGCACACGAGTTGTGAATTAAGAGTTTATATTTATTTTTGTTGGTTCAAAAAGCTGAATGGCGGCCAAGAAAATGAGGATGAGCGATGTAAAGGAGGAGGGCTCTGTGACCACCACCTGCTCCTACTGGGTGCCACGCAAGAAGCGCCGCTGCAAGATGACGGCCAACAAGGGCAGCCCATTTTGCGGCGCCCATGCCCCTCCCACCGTCACCGCCTCGAATCCGGATGAAAAGTCTGTGGAAGATTCCTTTCAGGAACGAGTTCCCTGCCCCCTGGATCCCAAACACACCGTCTTCAAACGAAAGCTAGCCAAGCACTTGACCATTTGCAATGCCAGGGATCAGGAAAGCTCATTGCCCTACATTGTAAAAGGAGTAAACGCTGGGGAGAATTCGGAGGAGCATCTCGAGGAACTGGATGAACTCAACCAAATAAAATTGCACAAACTGTCGGACGAAGAGTTCTATGGGTTAATCGACAAAGTAAAGCAACTGTATGATAAGCACATCAATTCTAGCATACAGGAGTTGCAGATGGAGCATGAATCGCTTAAAAGCAAATTGAATCGGAAGGACTACGGCCATGAAACGCTGCGTCAGCTCACCCAGGCCTCTAGCCTGCTGGGCATCCTGGAGCGGAATCAGCAGCTCACGGATCACACAAGCTTTGTGGAATTCGGTGCCGGAAAGGGAAAATTTGCCTACTATTTGACCACCGTTTTGGAGGATCAGCAAATGACACGCTCACAGGTGGTCCTCATCGACCGGATGTCTCTTCGCCACAAAAAGGACAACAAAGTGGCCAAGAAGGAAATGGTTCAGCGCATTCGGGCAGACATTGCCGATCTGAAACTTTCCGCCTTGCCGGACCTAAAGAAAACCCAACGAACGGTGGCGCTATCGAAGCATCTTTGTGGTGCAGCCACGGATTTAACACTGAGATGTATACTGGACGATGAAGCTGCCACCACGGACTATGTGCTCATTGCCTTGTGCTGCCACCATAGCTGCTCCTGGGGCTCTTATGTCGGGCGATCGTTTCTGCAGCAAGCCGGCATTGGACCACGGGAGTTTGTTATCCTTACCAAAATGGTCAGTTGGGCGGTTTGCGGCACCGGATTGAGTCGAGAGCGGCGCAGGGCCATGGAGGCGGCCGACGAACAGCCGGCGGAGACGAACACCCAGCGACTAAGTCGCGAGGAACGGGAAAAGATTGGCCAGCAGTGTAAGCGGGTGCTGGACTGCGGACGACTGGAGCACTTGCGCTCACACGGATACCAGGCGGAGCTCAAGTTCTACGTTCCGAGGGACGTAACTTTGGAAAATGTGGTCCTGCTGGCCAGACGATCTACCTCTGAACCCGATTGCCAAAATAAATGCAGTTGACCATAGTAAAATAATACGCTTCCTGTTAATCTGATTGATTGTATCAAATCTGTCACTTGATTTTCGGGAGGGTGTTTTTAATTGATGCCACAAGTTTTTACTTTTTATATTTTAATTGTTTATTGCTTTTAAAAATAATTGCATATAGAGATGAATGGGTGTGTCGCAGATGGAGCTGTTAACATAATTATTGCGCAGCCTTATGCATCGTTATTTGTTAGTTTGATTTTATACACAAAAGCTAAGCTTTTGGTGTGCTCAAAAAGGATGGGCCGAAATAATATCTTTGTGGCATGACAGTTTATTGCTGCACCCAAAATAACCCAATCCTTAACTTAAAACAGGAGTAAAATAACAATAAACAAAACTTTTTCTCCAACGCAACAAATATGTAGTTGGGTTACGCTCTCAAATGTCCGGATCTACATAATATATTCAAAGACTTTTTTCTGAAATAAGCTTTACATTTAAATATTGTGCACACGTTGTATATATTGTAGAAAAATACTACGAAATCTAGTTTCTACAAACCTAACGCAGTATGATTCTTATTTTTCCCCTTGTTGTCTCGTTTTTGTTTCTTTATATGTACATTTCTTAATTCGTAAGTTATCCGTAATCGGCTATCTGATCAGCAGGATTTTGAATGTTAGCTTTATCCAAAGTCTTAAAATAAAAAATGAAGACACTTTTGATTGGCTCACAAATACGATTTTGCTTTTCTAACTTTCTAATATGTGTTTTGGGGTCCTGGGTTAAAAATAACCTTTGAAATGATTGGTTTTATTTTATTTTCTTGGGTGTATTTCCGAAAACCTTCCATTCGACTGTCTCGAATATTATAAACACTTAACATTGTTATTTTATTTCAAATCAACTTCAAAAATTTTCAGCTTGGCGATAAATATTAAAAAAAATGTCTCAAAGTTCGTCTCCACGTTTATTTGTCAGAGGTTTAAATTTATGGTTTAAATTCTAAGTTTTACCGAGCCAGAAATGTAACTACTAAACTAACTTCTAAAAACTGTATTTAATTTTTTAAATAAATATTTCTTATTTTAATCATGTAATTTCATAATAAGTTATGGTAGATCAACTCGGTAAAGAATTGAACGCGAGCTTTAACCCAACGCACATAGGTTTCATCCCAGTATTTACCCTTAATTAAATAACAGAGGTGACTTACGGCTAACATTCACTTAAACAGTTTTTCAGATTCACCGAAGAATTGCAGAACTATTTACCACATAGATTTGTAAGCCCAACCCCATTTTGGATTCCAGCCATGGACGTTTTCGGTGTTTACCGAAATGTCAGTATAAAAGGACCTCAACGCGGACACTTGAAGTGGCCAGCGCGCGTCCAATCACAGAGCAAAACAATAATTGTTTACAAATTGTTAACACGCTCCGGAATAGCAGTAGATGATTGTCACTTTTGACGCGCAACGCCCCCTGCCAGGAGCGTCTCGGGCAAACAAAAATCCACAAATCACGCTCGGGCACAATGCACTCTAACACTAAAGAAAAATTTTGGTATTGGTAATGCCTTTTCGGAACATAATCCATCTACAAATGGTTCAATAATATTCGAATCTTGTAGAATTCAAACAAATCTTAAACGCATACATTGTTATTGAACTTTAAGATGGTATCCAAATCGAACAATGCTATAGCATTCCTCACATCCTTGTTGTAAAACTACACTTTTTTATTCACAAGAATGTTATTATTTTTATATATTTTGTGAGAAATTAGACATTTATATAAAAAAAAACACAAAGATTTATAGTTTTAAGTTTTTGCCACTTTTTATTGTTGTATATTTTGTGAGATGGTAGACAATAAATATAGAAATTTAAAGTTTTTAAATAAAAAAGATATTTTTGCCATCCTTCTTATTTCTGAAATAGTTTTAAATTTTTTAAAAATCAAATTCAAAGAACGGACGAATTTATTTTAACATTCTCAATTTGACATTACAAATTCATAACAAAGTTTTAAAAAACTTAATACAGTTTGGAACGAAAATCGAAAAGGAATGCCTCCAAGATTTTTGAATGTAAAATTATAGTTTTAGATTAAAATATTTTAGATAAATTGTTTCAACTTTATAATTTGGATTCTCAGTTTTACCAAACCAAAAATGTAACATATATTAAATTATATGAAAGTTAAGCAGGACAAACTTTGGTTATAATCGATCTATGATGAATTTCCATAGAATATACATACTTAATAGGCTACTTTTTTATGTGTAGCTGGTTTGCACATCATTTGCTGGTATAGGACATCCAGGTCGCGTATAAAACCACCAATATCCCAAAGGACCTGGTTCATTCCGGGGCGACTCTCATTTGGCGGCGGTCATCATGTCGAACTTGAGTGGCAGTGCCACTGGCAGTGCCTGCGCCGTGTGTGGCGATCAGAGTTCCGGAAAGCACTACGGTGTGGCCTGCTGTGACGGCTGCTCGTGCTTTTTCAAGCGGAGCGTGAGGCGTGGCAGTAGCTACGCCTGCATCGCCCTCGCCGGCAACTGTGTGGTGGACAAGGCGCGTAGGAACTGGTGTCCCTGCTGCCGCTTCCAGCGATGTCTGGCCGTGGGCATGAATGCGGCCGCCGTTCAGGAGGAGCGGGGTCCGCGCAACCAGCAGGTCACTCAGTACCGCCATGCCCGGCGACAAACGGTGCAGGTGCCATCGGCGCCATCTCCAACGGCCCACTCGCAGGCGCTGCACTTCCAGATCCTCGCCCAGATTCTCGTCACGTGCCTGCGCCAGGCGAAGGCCAACGAGCAGTTCGCTTTGCTGGAGAGTTGCCAGCAGGATGCCATCCTGCAGGCGGTGTGGAGCGAGATCTTCGTCCTGCGCGCCTCCCACTGGTCACTGGACATCAGTGCCATGATCGAGGGCTGCGGCGATGAACAGCTCAAGCGGCTCATCTTCGAGGCCCAGCAGCTGAAGGCCGACGTGCTGGAGCTGAACTTCATGGAGACCCTAATATTGTGCAGAAAAGGTAAGGGTTTCAAATAAGTTGAGCTTTAATCGGAAATCGGAGTGCCCTGGAAATCTCTTTATAACAAGTTTCAGAAATCTATTTGACTAAATTATAGATTTGAAAACCAATTTGGAAATATGTAATAAAAAATACTTCGTTTAAAAAACTTTAAGGAAAAGCATATAAATCTAACATATGCAAGCTCGACAAACTTTTTAAATTAAATGAAAGCAAAAGGTTGACAAAACAACAATTAAAACATTACTTGTAATCGAGTTGCGGTCTGTTTTTAAAGATGAGCTCCGACTTACATCGACTGTTAATTCAGGGATTTTATATATAGATCGATTGGACACAATATTTAAAACATTTAAAATTCAGGTGATTTAGAAAGACATAAAATCCGAAACGGTAGATGTAAGTAGAAATTAGACCTGCTTATTAAAAGAAACATAGGTAGAAGCTGTTCTATAAATTATAGAGGAACAGAAAACAGAATATTAATTAGTTTATGTGTAGTCTTGCTATGTTGACAAGTACAAAAAAAGGAGAATTTGATTCTGTATTGCATCAAATAAAATACTTTTCCTATGGAGATGTAAGCTACACATATTTAATACGAATAAACATTTGTTTCAGTAGGCTCTTTGTAAAAAGTTACTTGGTATAATAACGTCCATATCATATTAAGCAAACAAATTCATTGTTATTTCATTTAAATTAAACAAATAATGTATGGAAAGACCACAAATGGAAAGAAGAAGGTATCTACGAAGGTTGGCAAAAAGAAGCAAATCGTAGAAAATAATCGAGGGAAAACAGTGAAAGTGAAAGGTCTAAAACGCATTGCACCCCCTACCATTTCGGCCGATGCCACCACTTTTTCTGGATCACCGCATCGGTTTAATGATCTCAACGTAACTACACATCAACCATATAGCGTTAACTATCCAATCGCTGAATTAGTTCGCCAGGAAGTGGCTAAAGCCATGTTTAAGCACAGTTTCGAAACAGGAGCAGCCCTAGAAGGCAGAAGAGAAATGCCCTTGGCTGGTAATTTAGTCAATCTTGCAAAACTTGATGATCTAAAGGATATTGTGAACAAGCTCATGGTCGAGTCTGTCATCGAAAATAACGCAAAGAAGGTTCAAGAGACCGCTGAAAAGATTCTTGCTTTCGAGGAGAATCTTAAAAATCTTACAGTTCGCATAAGTGCACTTGAACAGTCGGTAAATGGACTTGCAAAAGATTCTGCGGCGTTTCAGCGAACGGAAAAGAAGACCGGATTGACTGGGAAATCTTCTATTATATTAAATAGAGTACCGCGGCTTAGCGACGATTCCAAGCTAAGATTGCCTTCCTGGCAACAAAACAATACAGAAAAGTACGATGACAAAGAGAAAAGTGAATTGGACATGAATTCGGAATTAAGCTCTTCAAAAACAGAACAGGAGGGTGAAAAGACACGTGCCTACAACGAGCTTATAAGTAAGTTCAATCGGAAGACGTTGGAAAAGCAGGCAATTCCACGTCCCAGCAGTTCGCTTGTTGGTAAGGACTTGGCCGACAGACGACTATTCGAAACCAACATTCTCCAGTGGCAAAAGTCACCGATGACTCTGCAGCATCACTTTTCAAATGAACTGTTCGTTCCGCAAAGCTCCGCAAAGGACACAATTGCCACAGAGCCACCGACAACACAAAGCCACCGACGTATCCCAATCCATCCAAGACTCACGAAACAGGACACGCCCACAAGCACCGATGATTTGGATTCGAATTGGTTGTTTGAACAGTAGAGGATTGCATTTGCTTTAGTTTTTTTTCGAATTTGTAAACTGCAATAAATATTTAAATTTTCTTTGAAATTATGAGAAACATACCTCATTCGAAACACATATCATACACTGATAAAAAAAAATGGAATAGTACAAATAAATAGCTGACTATTGAATGCAAAATTGTATACTAAATATTTATATTAAATATTAAATCATAAGTTTAAATACAATGCGCATTATGTTGCCTGATTTTATATTAAATATAATAATATGGTTCATATAATAATATGGTTCATATTTAAATTAAATTGTTGACCTTTAAAATAGTTTTATAACTAAAATTATAAGATATATGTTTATTTGGCTTACTAATATACAGTAAAATACTATAAAATTAGTAACTCCCGAAATCGACCTAAAATTGATCCAAAAGTGATTGGACGTATTCAGCAGAACAACATGATCACTGATCCCTGATGGATCAGTAATCAGTGACCAAGTTTTTTCTGCTGAACACTTATGATACATTAGGCATTAATTAATTAATTTTTTCTTGTTTTGTTGGTTTTTTATTTTTGTTTTGTTTATATTATGATTCTTGTGTTTGTTCTTATCGATATAGGCTAGCAGATATGTATCATGTGTCAAGAAATATGTATCATGTATCACCAGTGATCAGTGATCGTGTTCTGCTGAATAAAGACATTGATGTTAGGAAACCAATTTCTAGTAAATTACTCTATCGATGACTAGCAGAACTGGACATAGAAACAAAATAAGCATGAGAACAGTTAAAAAAACATAAATAAAATTTTTCAAAAATGTAATTTTCTGAATCAGGGGGTCAATCTCGACCGGAAAATCAAACTTCCGTTGTTGGAGGATTTGGTCGATTTAAAAAAAAAAACGCTAATTATAAAAAAAGTTATTATAACAAAACTATTAAATTAAAAACCAAACCGATATAATTATACTACATTTAAGTATAATTAAGTTAAAATCCAAAACGATAAAGGACATTTATCCATTGTTCATTGAGATTCCAGGATTCTGGTAATATTTTTTTCAGACAACATAGAGTTTAAATATTGTCATAAAACAAATTCTTTGAGTTTTTCAAGTTTAAAGGCTTCCTCATCAAACAATTTATGAATTCATTCTAATTATTTAAGTCGTTTAAAATATTATTTACAGAATTGGCTATCAGTGCGCAGTACGGCATAATTCTGGGAAGTCACTCGAACGCTGCACTCGTTTCCTTGGCTCGATATACACTGCAACAATCGAATTATTTGCGATTTGGACAACTCCTTCTTGGACTGAGACAACTATGCCTGCGACGCTTCGACTGCGCTTTATCTTGCATGTTTCGCACTGTGGTTAGGGACATATTAAAAACACTTTGAGATTAAGTTTAATAAAATACCCACTCCCAATAGAACTGCTTAATTTTGATGTCAAACTTTACTAGTTCAGTGAGATGAGCTAACAACATTTAAGGAACCCGTAACACCGTTGGATATGCTATGTGCTAAAAAACTTACAACTCTTGAGGAAACAATAGGTGGCTACGGAATCTCGAGGGTTTTGTGTTTGGGCTACAATGAAATTACAATTACGAAAATAATTCTTTACAATTATTACAATTTTTGAACAGTAAAGTTACTGCTCTTGAGCTTTAGTTTCTTATTCTATCAGCAAATACTAAATTTGTTTGCTTTAATTAACATCTTTCTCTATAACTATCGTTCGAAAAAAGACTTAGTTTTACGAATTTATAGTTTAAAATAAGGAAATATTTTAAGCCAGCTTGAGGATGCCTGAAATAGAAAAGTGATGGCCAGCAGAATCTAAACTCAAATGAAACATTAAATTCCAAACATCCATACAAATAAAGATTCCAAATAACTTAATTCCAAAGACGGCTTTTTGCATCGATCATCGACCTATAGATCAGCCTGATCCTAAGGTTTCGGTCGTTTAGAGAATACCCCATATTCAATGTTGATTTTTAAAACAATTTTGAAGTGACGATGACCGTATTAAAAATACTAACTAAACGTCAACTATCGATATAAGTCACGAAGTAATTGTGCTCGTTTCGCTTGTTATATCGATATTTTGGTATATTTTGGCCATCACTAGAGTGTCTGCTGCGGCCGTTTCGTTTCTGTAATTATTTTTCGTATTTAACCAAGCCGTGAATAATGTAAGCTAATTATTGGGGAACCCAAGGGCACAAAATGCGCGCGCGTTGCCAAAGGAGCTAGAATGCTATAGAGTTTTCGTGCCGAAATCAGATTCGTTTGCTTTTCCTGCTTGTGCTCCTCGTCCGTCGGCCATTAAGACACACAACAGAGAAAACGGGAAAATAATACTCGTGTGTGTGTGTGTGTGTGTGCGAGTGTGCGTTGAAGTGTTGTGAGCTCGGAAAGAAGCCAGTGGGAAAAAGAAAAGCGTTCTCCAAGCCGTGAAATCCTAAGCGTTTCCTCGACTGCAAGCGGCGTACAGGGTGCACCGTGCAAAAAAGCAAAGACAACCAAGGTACCTACCTGAAGTGAATTCACGGGAAGAGAGGGGGAGGGAAGAGTGTTTAAGGTGCTGGAGGAGTGCGGGACGAGGGAGTTTCATTCATAAAAAGAGAGTGCACCGTTAGTCCAATTGGTTTGGCTTCCAATACACAGACACGCACACAGGCTCAGAAGGTTGCACACATTGATTTTTCCAACTTATTCACACATGTGTGTGTGTGGATTAAAGAAAAACGTTTCAAGTGGTTTCCATGCCACATTATTTGGGATTAACGCATTGGTGCTCCCGATTTTCCAGCATAGAAATAAAGCCAACAAGCTGCCCCTCCACCTCCACCTGTCCCTCGATCCCCCCGCAACCAACACACGTGACAAAACAAGAAAATAGATTTACATAAAGCACCAACAACATTTCGCAGTCGATTTGGCATTTAACAGTTACCGTCTTAACGACACAAGTCCAGTGCCCCACACTCCGCCCCCACCTCGTAGAAAAACATATTTGCTAGGCACGATCACAGGTAAAAACGGAAGGGACAAGGGGAAGTGGACACGGAGAAGGGAACTGGAAAGAGGAATATAAAAGGCATAACATTTCCGCCTGCTGCTTTCGGCTGGCGTCCGCAACAAAAATAGACAACGTCGCAGCGGCATAGAGTCGCCACCGTCAGCGGTTATGGGTGGCCATAAATCGCGAACAAATTAACAAGCCGGTTGGCAGGGTTTTGTTAAAACACCCTTATCTCCGTCATGTTCATACCTTGTTCGGGACCAATAATCCAAGTCGAACTTTTGACTGTATCTTTATAGTCTCGAAAACTTTAAAAAGCTAGATTACTATAAAATCGACGAATGAAGTCCAATTAGATACGACAGATATAGTACAGCTGTTTCTAATAACATCGGTTTTTCAAAATTGAAGAATGTAATTGATATTTATTTACATATTGTAAGTTTAAAGATGTTTTAAAAACAAGAACTTTCAAGGAAAATTCAATTATTTTTGAGATTTGAGTTCTTTTCAAGATGTTTGGGGAAACAGCTATAATTTCAGTGTGGCAAAGATGTAATAGTCATAATATGAAAACATTTTACATCATAAATATAAAATGAAACTGTATATCTGACAAATATGGGATTATCCAAATAAAAGTCTTAGGATTATCGCATGCTTCTGCTCCGCATAAACGTTTTGAAGAAGTCTGCATATGTTTGTGGCTTCTTTCAGCTCTTGGAGCAAGCGCCACGTTTGCGTTGCTGTCGTTGCAACATGCACCTAGGCCTGCGCCACTTGGAAAGTCCTCCTCTTTTCTTGTACCCCCTTCTGCACAGCCCCGTTTTACAACCCCTGTCACTTATTTAAATGCCGCAAGTGTTGTCGAGTTTCCTGTGCCCATGTGTGCTTGGCTCATTAGGGAATAATTTTGCAATGGGCCCTGCAGAAAGAAAAACATGTATTTTATTGATTTTACCTGAAGTTTGACCGACAACAAAATCGAACTCAATGCGGTACACCGTTAACCCAATTCTGGGCGCCCACACGCTCCCGAAAAGTTTGTTGTTGCTTGATCTAAAAACAAAATCTCACCTATATATGTATGTAATATAATCATATAGAGATCTCTCGGCAAGCAGCCAACAAACCTACAAATACCATTAAAGCTGTTAGTACAGATATACAGCTGGGGTCAAGATTATATCACTGAGAATTTTCGATTTAGTTTATATGTTTTGCTAAATTAAACTATTTTTGCTGTGTTCTACTACGAGAAAGTTTGATATAAAGTTTAAGCAACTCTGTGGAAGCGAATATGCATATATGAACTTTTTGCTTCTGGGTGTTGTATTTATGTGTATAGTTTTTAATTGGAATGACATGTACATGACATACACTTTGTTTGGCAAGAGTTATTTGTTTCCAATCAATTTTTTTTTGTTTTTGTGGTTTATCTTGCCGCAACACCAGTAAGTGCCGTCGACTTATTTGACCACCGTCACCAATCAATTGTTAACAGATTAAAATTGAACAAAAGAAATGTTCCGTTTTTTTGTATATTATTATTCTGACCTCGGCTGTAGGTACTGCATGTTGTTGCTAGCGCCCCTCTCATCTCTGGCTCTCCCGTTAGTTGCATTGACTCTTAACGCCTGACGTTGATAAATGAATCATAAAAGCAGCGCTGCCGACTTCGCCGGCATAAGCAGACAGGCGCCAAAATCGCTCTACTCTCTCTCTCTCCCACTCCTTTTCGCTCTCTGGTCATATGTTTGACTGCGTTGCCCGCCCACCCGAGTGTTTCAATGTTTTTGTTGTCCCCAGCGTTTTATTTCCTTTTCTGTGTTGCTGTAACTTCGAATGCGTGAGCTGTTTTGTTTTTGTAACAAGCGATAATCGAAGCCACTCTTATTATCGCAACGAATTCTTTGTGACTCGATCGTTAACGTGGGCGAGAGAGCAGAGAAAGAGCGCACCGCTGATACCGTTGAAGTGTGTTGCATGGGGTACAGTGGTTGCTCCATACTTGGAAATCCAACAAAATTGTACTTTTGTTGTGGGTATGATTTGAGGGAAATTATAAATTTTGTTTGGCATAGAAATAATATTATGCTTCAATATAGCGCTAAGATTAATTTTGTAGGTAAAAATAGTAAAAAAAAAACTAGTTGGTAACGTTGATCAGAAAAGAAAACATTTAAAAATGTACGATTTGCAATATTGATATTTTTTATTAATATTTAGTTATTTATGTATAGTTAAATAGCGAAAAATTTCGAAAATCTTTTTTAAAAGCTTCCTTCACTCTTTGATGTTTCCTAGGATATTGTTTATAAAAAAGATTATTAAAATTCAAAAAAAAAACTTTTTTTAAGCACTGTAAACTGCGGCACTTACTCTCGCGTTAAATGTTCTCCGCGCCCGTTCTCTTGGAGCGGTATATGTATGTTGTTTGTTGCCTTTTGCCGGCTGCTCTAGTGGCAGTGACACTCGAGAGTGAGAGTCACACCGACGGAGCAACTGAGCAACGGCACAGTCCGATTTAGTTCGCCGGACGGCCCATATTGATAAATTTATTATTGTGGCTATACATCTCTATCTCTCCTCTCCTGCAACAGCCTCTGAGTGTTCGAGTGTGTGTGTGGGTGTTTTTACCATTTTAAAAAAGCAAAACAAAGTGCTTTTCTCATGCAAAAAAAAAAAAAATTGAGAGCACACAATTTTGGCGTGATCTTCAAGAAGATCGCATAAAAAAAGAATAATAAAGTGCCAAAGTTGTATAATTTTGTGCAGAATTCTGTGAAACACACAACGCCTAAGTGTTGGCGAAATATATGCCAACAATCTTTCCTGTGTCGTTGTATGGCTAATGTAAAGTTTTGCGGAACCATATGACGCGATTCTAATAGGGCGGGGAAAACAGAAAGAAATATATAGTAAGATAAGCTGCGGTACATTTTTTCGATAGATAACAGACGGTTAGAAGGCCTGGAAATACTCCGAACATTAAATCATTCCTGCCCAGTTCAGTTCCCGTTTTTGTATGAATTCAAAATTAATGAATTATTATAATTCCCTAAATAAAATTACAATCTTCCCCATATTGATTTAATTTGATAAAATCAATAACTCCAAATAAAATAACACTCAAAACAGAATTGATATCTCAGTTTTGATCAATTAGATTGTGCCAGTTTTGTTTATCAACTGAAATGAGAAGATATGTCTCATCGTACTTTGCTTTTTCGACAAATAATGATCTTTTTCTCCCACTCTCGACAGCTGTTTTCTGGCCTTAGAACAGCTGTGCATTAAGGGGCGGTAGACGAAGCGAGGCGGAGGAAGCAGAAGCTAACCAGAAGAGCCAGAAGCACTCCAA